TGCCCCCCGTAAAATATTAGCCAATTGTTTTTCTCTACCAAAACCCCCAGAGTTCTCTCTCTCTCTCTCTCTCTCTCTCTCTGTCTCAAACAAGGAAAAACAAAATCTGCATACAAATTAAGCTAAAACAGCGTTTAAAATGTACACACAGGCAGCTTTCATTAGTGTCATTTTTTTTTTTAAAAAAGAAAACTTTCATTTCCTCCCTCCTCCAAAAAAAGAAAAAGAAAAAAAAGGCAGCAGCGTTTCATTTATAAAGGACGGAACTCGGAAAGGATTTAGCCATTAAAAGCCTAACTACAAATATTACTACTACTGGTCTATTTCCCCCCCCCGCCAACCCCAACAAAGGTTGACAGACTGGCTTATCTTGGGAGCTTATGAGGCTTCCTGAAATTGCGTTCTTAGGGATCGTTCTAAGAGCAGCTCCACCGTAAACAAGGCATTCTCCTATATAAGAGAACTGTGTCAAGACACCCAGGTCTGACGTATCTTCTTTTCAAGTTACTCCAACTAAAAACCTGGTTGCAATGCTTCTGGGCTCCTCATCCCATCTACATTGTAGTGCAAACAGCCTCCATCAGCACCTGCTCCCTGAATAACCTCTTAGTTATCCTGCAGAACCTCAGAAACTAGGAGAAGAGGATGGTTGGGGCTGCTGAAAACATCTGGCGAGGCTCAGCTGCCTTCAAAAGCTCCACCATGGGTTGGATGACCCAACTGAAAGTTTCCTTGGTCAATCATCTCCACACTGGCACAATGTACGCACATGTAGATGCTCAGGGGATTTCTGCTAAGTTGTTTCAAAGGAACAGGTCACAGGCTGAAGGTGGGCTGAGGCTGGGGTGACAGGGAGAGGACAGAGAAGTAACCACTCTTAAGACCAGAACTGGAGGACGACCCTGGTTGACCAAACAGGAGGACCCTCGCGGTCACTTCTGGACATCTGCTAGCTTTGATGTCCTGCAGAAAACAGAAATAATGCTAAACGGAACTGCTTCTTCTAACCAAATACACCAAACTCGAACCTGCTCCAATTCTCCAAACACGGCCAGATCATCAGGGAAATTATAGTGCAAAATAACAACAACAATAATAATAATAATAATTCAGGAGCCTCAACTCAAGGGAAAAGATATAATCTGGCCATGATGATATGTAAGTCGATCTTTCAGAGATCTATTAAGGAACTTGGACAAGCTGGGATGGATTTGGGAAGCTGAGGATACCACCTCAGCTAAAAAAAAACACGAAAAGCTAATGTCGGATTTTTAAGGGTTCATACTTTAATTTTAAAGGCTCGAAAACCTAAAGAGATGCATGTATATTTCAACCAGAAGGAAAGGATTTCTGGCGCAGCCCAGGGCACGGTATACCTGGAACTCTACCTTTCCAAGGAAATAGAATTGCCCTGGGCTTATCCAAATATGGGCATTTGCCATCGGTGTTAAAATTTAGACTTGGAATTAAAGTGAAGTGAAGTGGAGGTGATGTGAAGTGAGGGGCAAGGCAACAAAGAAAGACACTCCAAGAATCTGGAGAAAACCCCTGTGATGGAGGATGCGTGTTTGGCCCAAGTCGGATTCCAATACTCAACTGAAAGACTCCAAAATGAAGGGAATGCTGCTAACATCCACTTCACTCAACTTTACCAAATGGTGTTACACCATGAAGGTGTTACACCTTCTGCACTGAAGGGTGTTGATCTAAGGTGTTTGAAGGGTGTCCATGAGGACAGCTGCCACAAACAACGTCCCAATTCCTACCACACAAGGCCAAGGCAGCTCTGGGACCCATCACAGAGTCGAGAAGGCTCACTTTTGAGTTCCCTACGTACCATCATCTAACAGAAGAGGTCTCACTTCAGGCTGCAACTTCCTCAAAGGGTGGAGAAGGCCAGATCCAAGGCTGTCAGTTAAGGGGGAATTCAGTGCCTGGAGAGGTTGGATCTGTCAAGGACCACCATGTCAACAGCAGAGCTCTCTAAGGCAGGGGTCTCCAACCTTGGCAACTTTAAGACTTCTGGGAGTTGAAGTCCACAAGTCTTAAATTGGCCAAGGTTGGAGACCCCTGATCTAAGGCATGTTGGCAAGTGCTGAAGTTAAACCCAAGAAACAAAAACATTTCTCAAAGTGCTGTTGTTGTTTTTTTTTTTTTTTTGGGGGGGGGGGAGTTCTTTAGATGCTTACACTACGTCAACACTCTACCACTCCCTGGCATGTTTCACGCATGACCGTTTCTACCCTTCACATAGCTTCCAAGAACTAAGACAGGTGAAGGGTTAAAAGCATGCGTGTTTCTTTCCAATCCTTCCCACGTTATTTTTTTTTTCACTCTATCTAGTTCTTCTCAAAAATTCATCCTTTCAGCAGCTCATTTTGTCGGACGACCCAACAGCTCTACAAATGGGAAGCCAGCATGTTCTTCCCCTACCAAACTATGTGTGCAAATTATACAAAACAGCACATATGCTTCTTTTTAGAATGAGAAATACATTTTAAGACGAGAGAGAACTGTTCTACTGAGAATCAAAGCTGCTTGCCCACATAAGGTGTAACTAAAGCTGTGCTTGTCACCATCAGGGCCTTCTCCTGTTTTGGGAATGTTCAGGATACATCTATACAAAGTGGGCTGGAGCTCAGAAAAGATCCTTTAAGCCGAGGCAGAACCTCTGGGTTGAATGCTGCCTGTTAGCCCATAGGTTGCAACTTGCACCCTGAAAGACCTTGTGACAATTAAGTTTCAGGGACTCATGCGTCAGTCATGGAACAGCCAATGACCTACTGAAGATTGTTGTGATCCATGCTCAGGATCAAGACCCAACAAGCCCAAATTTATTAAACCTTTTTTTTTTTTTTTACAGGTACTTGACTTCAAAAAAAAGATAACTGATGGCAGAAGGGAAACAATCTTCTATCAGACTGTGACCAGAACCGTGGACGGATCCTTAAAAGTTGACATGGACAATGTCAACAGTTGACATGGACAATGTCAACAGTTGACATGGACAATGTCAACCTAGAAGTTGTCCAGTAACCAAGAAGATCATTTGGACACACACACACACACACATCCAACAAAAACGCAGACAATTTGCCTTACGAAAAACCAAGGAAAACCCCAAAACCAGTTCACCATCACCATTTTTAGCCAACCACAAATAAGTCAGCCCACTGCCCCCCATTAATTGCAAGTGAGAATTATCTTCCTGTCTGTTTCCAAGTGAGTGACCCTTTCAGAAAGACGAGCAGCATGTAAAAGTGGCAGAAATCCTTTAAAAAGAAAGCAACAATGGGACTCATGTTGTGAGAAACAGGAATAAAATAAAACCGATTTAAATATGCCAGTACTACTACAACCATTATTGGAGCATGATGCTTTTGTACAGTGCAAAGGGACTTGGCAAGGACACAACTAGCACGCCTACAGCTAAGCAATGAGTGAAACCTGCAAAATATGGCTTGCTACACAACAGCTCTCAGCTTGATCAAGGAATGTAGTATATCTGCAGCTCAACTATATACAATTTTACACATTCATACAGATAATACATGGCTCTACCCCCCTCAAAAAAGAAAGTATATTACAATCCTATATATAAACCAGAACGTCACTGTGGTACAAATCATCTGGAGGATTATTTCAAGTACTGGGAGAGAGCTAGCATAGGGAGGTCTGTTTTTGATATATATATATATTAAAGAGGAAATGCCAAATGCACCGCTTTTCAAAAATAGTAGGCTGTGAAATACATCCATTCCAAATTCTGCTCCCGACTCTCTTTTTTTTCTTTTAAATGGCTCTTAGTCCAAACCGGAGGTATTCCCCACAATCACGAGAACAGACCGAGAGAAGCTTCAGTTCTTAATCTTTTTCTCCATCTTCACTGCTCCCTGTTGAAGAAACAAAGTTATTACAATTACAAGTAACTTGGGAGTGTCTGCTTGTGGAAAGACCCCTCTAAGTTAGTGTTTCTCAACCGTGGCCACTTTAAGGTGCATGGACTTCAACTCCCAGAATTCCCCAGCCAGCCATGGCTGGCTGGGGAATTCTGGGAGTTGGAAGCCCACGCATCTTAAAGTGGCCACGGTTGAAAAACATTGCCTTAAACTCTGCAGATTTGTTTAGGCCTAATTTGTTGTGGTAATTTCTAGCAGGCTAACTGAATCGAAATGAAAGTCGGAGAATCTTAAAAACTACCTGCGCAAAAGGTGTGTGGTAGGTACCCGGCTCCAGAGGGATGTTATAACAATTTCCCCCAAGAGTTAGAATCAAGTTCCCCCCCCCCCTTCTTTGTAAGGGACATTCTGATGTACAAGGCAGTGTTCTCCACCCCCTATTACAAAATCCACAAAAGTGGACACACCTGCAAGCCTCCCCAAGCACAACTGTCTACATCGCACACTTCAATGTCACTGCTGGGGAACATCAAAGGAAGCTGCCCGTTGAGTTACCAGCTAAAGCAAGCAATGTGGCTTATCTAATCAGCATTTTGGCCAAGTGCAAACAGTGTTTCTCGAGGCAATCAGAGAGCAGACTGAGTGTCAGCCCATTTACACA